TCAACTGTTAAATGGAAGGAAGAGCACTCAGCTTGATAGAATTTTAAATGAGATGATGTATAAAATGTAAGGAGTCCAGTGACTGGCTCATGGCAAGCACTGAAACGTTAGTCCCCTTCTTGCTTTTCCTCCTATGCACACAGCACAGGCGGTGTCTCAGAGCAGGGCCAAAACTCAGAACCTATCCCCAGGTCGCGTCGTGGAGAGCCATCTATTGTTTCTGAAGTGATTCCTGGCTCGTCCAAGTGACTTCATGAGCCCCCTGTAAGAGGCATCTAGCTGTGGTTCCAAGTGGTAGAGAAAACAGAAGAACAAAATCCACCTTCTGGGTTCAACTCCTAGCTCTGCCATCACTAGAGACGTAACCCTGTGCACAAAGAATCCACGCGCTGCAACAAAGATCCAGCACAGCCAAACTATGAAGAAAAAAAAAGTTAAATTTTGTAAAGTACTTAAAATAAAACCTGGTACAAAGTAAGTGCTTCACATTTATTTAACAAATATTTAATGAGAACTACTATTGGCAAGGCAGGTTTCAAGGAATACGTTGAACAGATGCTGTCGTGGCTCCTAGGAGGCTCAGTCTCTCTGCAGAGAAAGAATCCCCAGGGGAAGGGGTGTTTCCAAGGAGAAGTATGGTACAAGGGAAGTGAATGTCAGCCCCTGGTCTACACTCAGGGATCTCCCTGAGGAAGTGACATTTGTTAAAACGTGGACTGTTATACAGCCTAGCTCTTTTTCACTTTTTCAACCAAGCATTGATCTTTTTCTGTAAGGTTCTATTTAGATGTTTTCTGGTGCTGGGGAGCCTGATACTCAGAGTCAAGAGGAAAAGGAGGGTCTTGGGGTTGCTGACAGGACTGTTCTGATTTGACCAGAGGAAGCCGGAGGCCGTGGAGCACAGGGCTGTAGATTCAGGCATTTCTGGGATTTTGCCTTCCAGGCCAGCAGGCTGACTCCCCCGCCAGTGGCCCAGCCAAAGGGGAGGGAGGAACGGGCTCAAAGAAAGAAAGATGCCATACTCGGCTTTGCCCACTAGGTGGAGTATTTTAGCCAAAGAAGGGGCCTTTGGAGGCAGTGAAGTCCTAGATCGCTCTGCCCTAGGGGAGAGGCAAGCTCGGACTTGTAAGAGACACGCCCATCAAGCCCTTCTCCGCAGCTTGACAGTCAACAAGCTTCCTCAAACCTAAGGCCTGTGCCAAAGTCTCTTCTGGGAAAAGAAGGTACTCTACGGCCGGAACAATTTCTAGATTTTTAGAGCCAGAAAGGGGCCATGGGAGACCAGTGGGTCTGACCATCTTTCCCACAAATTAGAAATGCGAGGATCGAGAGGTGAGGAGACTCACCAAGGTCGCACAGCCGAGCTGGGCCCTTCCAGACCAAGGTCTCCTGACTTCCGAGCCTCAGCTCTCTGAGCTGCCTCCCAGTCATTCAGATAGCTTCCCTGTCCTGTGCACCCTCGCATGTAGGTGTGAGCCCATATACTGACAAAGAAGTCCAGAGTGAAATCTGATGCTTTCGTAGGAGGCAGGCGGTGGGTGCAGCGCCCCCTAGTGGTTGAATGCCCGTAGGTCTCAGCGTGGAAGCGCCGCTTCTCCCGGGAAGAACCTTGCTCTCTGCTTCTCCCCTCCCTGCTGCTCTAGGGTTCCCTCCTTGAAGATGCCTTCCTTCACCCTCAGTCCAAACGGGCCAACTCCTTCACACTGTTACAGTCTCTCCCTTGCCCTCAGCTGATCTTTAGAGCACATGCCTCTGTCTGAAGTCCAATTTTACGCAGGTGAACATCCCCCCCCCCCACCACACACACACACCCATACATATGCTGATTATGTATTGTTTGTCTCCCCTCTGGGATGTAAATTCAGCGAGTTCAGATGAACACTGTGTCCCACTCCACTACCCAGTAGAGTGTCTGGTACATAGAAGATGCCCCATAAAATTTTATTAACGTTTACTTAATACATGAAAGATCGTGGCTTCAAATCCTGATTCATCTGTAAAGTGAGCTATGGTGAAGACCCAGTTAAATAATACATGCAAAACTGTCCTGCCACCTGTCAAGGGTAAACAAATGAAAGGGGTGAGGTTAGAGTAAGGGACTCTAGGGAGAGGCAACTCAGAGGGAGAGACTGGAAACTGCCAGCAAAAACTAGGGGCCTACCTCATATATTGTGACAGTAATTAGCATACGTTTATATTGACTTGTTTACTTTGCTTTATCCTTTCTTGTTTAAAAACAAGGCCAAAAATACCTGCTAACAGCACATAAAGACACTCGCACACTTCAGCATAGTCACATAAACTGGGCATGTGTAGGTGACACTCTGACTTGGGTAGCCGTGAAAACTGGAATGAAAAGTTAACTTGCCAGATGCCAAGTTGACTCAGACACGTCAGAAGCACCCCTCATTTACAAAATAAATACATTAGAGTTGGTGAGCAAGAAGGCAAAGGAAAAATGAAAACTATAAAAGACACCGAGAAAAGATGGCTGGGACACAGAAAGGGTTCAACCAGGCAAACCTAACCCATCAAGAGTGGTTCACACATTGTGGCCTCCACGTCTAGGTGTGGGTGGACAGTGGGAAACCTGATCCCCACAACAGGTGTCAGTGGCCGACCCATCCTCAGGCTGGGCTTGGAGGCCCCAAACAGAGCTGGGATTTAGGGACAGGAACTCGCCACACTGGGGCTCTTTTTCTGTTGATACACAGGTGGTCATAAGCCAGACTTGAGGGCTAAGCTGAATTTTTTAAACTTATCCCTTTGCCTTCGTACTTCTCATCAGTTGTAAGTCAGTGCAAAATTCAAAGACTCTGACTTTAAACATCTCCCAGTTTTTTGGTAACATTAAAAAAAAACATATATTAAGAAAAGTGGAGCAAACTCTAAATAAAGATAAGTCGATGAGATTGAGACAACTGGGAACAGTTTTGGGAAGCTGACCTCGAAAAGACAAGACATACACTGTTTCACACCACAATCTTTTTACCCCTAAATTTTTTAAAGAAAGCAGAGATCCCGTGTGCTTGCCAATGACCTGAAAAGCTAACCACATCTTAGAATGGCTATTCTTGACTCTGTCTTTGAAAGCCTAGCAAAGTGACCATCAGAAAGAACCTGAATGCTGTCATGGGTTTCAGTGATGGATTCCCCAAGGTCCTGGCTTCCTGGATGTGAAAGTGTTCTGAAGAAACTCCCATTGGCCTGCCCCTTAGCATCAGGCCCTCTGGCTGCAGTAGAGAAGACTGCTTCCAGTCATGTAGGCCACTGACTTTCTTTTTACCTTCTGTCCACTGCAAAGTTTGTATGGGACAAAGTCCTTGCTATTTCCAAAGGTGATTCTCCAACCAAAAGAAGACAAAAACTCAGCCTAAATCATGAGAGCCATAGACCACTCTGCAGAGTGGAAAAACAAGAGTGGACTGTTGTTTAACAAGAAGAGATGGAGTCTTTTAAGAAAAGAGGTGTCTATGGGGGAATAACCCCATCAGAGTGAAAGCACCCAAGAGTACTGGGCTCCGGGGCAGAACTGAACTCTCTGTCTACCCTCTACCAGCAGGCAGTGAGTAACACGATCTCTGACTAGGTGCAGAGCTCCTCGAAGCTCAGTTAGCTCCTCTGTGCAAAGACCTTTTAATCACATCTGCCCCAAATGCCTGATGGATTCAAGAAGAAGGCAGACATAAAAGGGTTCACAAACAATTACTATTAGAAACTGACAATAATTATTATAATAACCTACGTTCCACCATCTCCAAGAAGAATGGAGTAATATAACAGCTGCTGTGTTTGAGTAACTGCTTTGCACCATGTTTTTCCATCTCTGTGTTCCAAGCCTTACAATATAGTTCTAATTATCCCCATTTTACAAGGAACGGGGGTGGAGGTGATGGATGAAGAGCCAGAGGGGATAAGTGACCCTTCAAAGTCCATTCAGCCATTAAGAAGCAGAGCATGGATTTGAACTCAGACCTGTCTGGCTTCTGGACTCTCTACAGCAGTCTGTCTCTAATGAAGAGGAAAGGGGCAAAAATGATACATTGGGGGTTAATGTTAAAAAAGAAGGTGACAGGGATGATAGCGAAAAGCCTAAGAAGGTTTCTGAGGAAGATACTTGAACTTTTACTATATTTAATTTTACAATGGGGCAGGATCTCCTGGTGTCAGCAACGTTAAGCCGTGAGCAGGGCCAGAAGGAGAAGAACTGTGACCCTGGTGGACTGGGGTCTCTGGAGCTCTTTCCATGGAGAAAGGGTGACCCTCGATCCCTTGCTCAGTGACTGGCAGAGCCATGGGGGACACAGAGCAGCGGCCAGCCAGGGGAAGGCAGGTGCAGAACGTCAAGTCCACCTGGAGGTCGGGCTGGTCCCCAGGTCAGTGGTGAGTAGGCGCGGGGACAGGCTGACACCATTCCCTGGGATAATAGACTGATTCAATAGCATCTGAGTGACCCCCTGCACATCCACACGTCACAATCCCATGCCTCCCTCCCCTCCTTCTGCCCTCCTCCCTCCAAGTGAATTTCTCTCCTCTGACCTTCCTGGCCTCCTCATTTCATGTGCGCATGTTCCCCTGTCTCCCTCCTGCCTGCTCCCTCCCCACCAGCCTGGCAAACTGTATCAGCGAATCCCTCAACGGGGCCCTATCTAACTTTTTTATTCATCGCATGATTTATTTTTAGCCTGAAACAACTGCATCCTAAAAATGGAGTTCCAGATGAGACACGGGCTGGGCAGAGCTATGCAAGCTATCTGGGGCTGGGCGGCCCAGCCTGGCTCCGGTTCCACGCACGCATGGGTGTGAGCCTCTGCTTGCTTTGTCTGAGCCCACGGCTACAGTCAGCAGCCTGCAGAGGTGAAGACGGGGTTCTCGGGCCCAGGGAGGGCCAAGGAGAGAGACCAGATCAGCCTCTGCTCCGCATGACTCCCAGCAAGTCCTCTAAGGCTCCATTCACTTGCCTACCATCAGCGTTTCTGGGAAAGAAAAATTTTGCCCAGATGAAGAGAGCCCACCTGTTTGTGGTGGGGGTCTACCTGCTGTCCTCCTGCAGGGCGGAGGAGGGACTGAACTTCCCCACCTATGATGGCAAGGACCGCGTGGTCAGTCTAACCGAGAAGAATTTTAAGCAGGTTTTGAAGAAATATGACTTGCTCTGCCTCTACTACCACGAGCCCCTCTCTTCAGATAAAGTCGTGCAGAAACAGTTCCAGCTGAAAGAAATCGTGCTGGAGGTGAGTGGGAGGGGACCCTCGGACCACGTCGTCCAAGGAGGCGGGAACCAGCCTGTGATCGGGATGTGGGGACCCCAGGGTGCTGAGAATATATCCTGAAGTCTTGCCCCATTTCAGTCTCTTACAAAACTGGAAATCTAGCAAAGGTGGGATGTGCGAAAAGCAGAGGTGTATTCAGACTCTTCAGACAGGACAAGTGAATGCGCTGCACTCTGCATTGCTTGCCGTTGTTTAGTTGCTCAGTCCTATCCGACTCCTTTGCGACCCCACGGACTATAGCCTGCCAGCCTCCTCTGTCCATGGGATTCTCCAGGCAAGATTACTGGAGTGGGTTGCCATTCCCTTCTCTAGGGGATCTTCCTGACCCAGGGATTGAACCCACGTCTTCTGTATTGGCAGGAGGATTCTTTACACTGAGCCACCAGGGAAGTCTGCCCAAAGCGTTATCGTCTGTAAAGATGCAGAGTCTTTCAGCTGACGGCCCTCTTGATTTCTCAAGGGCGGTGGTTCCAGCCACTCTTTTCCTCAGAGAATGTTAAAGCTATCGTTAAAAAGCCTGAACGACATGAAATTCAGGGTTATGTGCAGGCTTCATTCGGTGTACGAATTTCCTACTTTTACTCTTTGTTCTTGTAAGTCTGCCCACAATCTTGGGGCAGCAGAAGTCATTTGACCTTGCCTCTGCTTGTGGGTCAGATGGGGAGCACCACTATGCAATGCTCCTCTCCTGGGACTCGGTATCAGTCGACATCACACACTGGAGATGTGGGAAGATCTTGGCTGCATGTTCATTACGGGAGCATTTCTTTTTCTCGTAAAGTTCTTGGTGTGAGTTCAGGGAAGATGCTGAAGTCAATTCTTATTCTGTCAGCATTACATGACCTCTTTGTGAAACTGGCGCTGGGGCTGGTTCTCTAATCCCATGTGAGTGACCCAGGAACTCCTCCCGTAGCTCCTCCTGGGCAGTTTCAGATCAGTTACACTCAGGAGGACCTGGGAGTGCCAAGAATTCTAGTAGGCACCAAGATCCCTTATCAGTTCCCAGGCTCGGCTCAGCCCATGCACCTATTTGCAAAAAGGACTATTGGAGAACTATAGCAGTTTATTAACCAGCCCTATGAGAAAGCTCAGTTCAATCAGATGCCTTTTTGTTCTTTCTTTTTCTTTCAGTTTTATTGAGACGTAACTGACATACTTTATAATCAAATACTTTGATGAACAGAATTATCATACAAAACCCATGTGGATTTTAGTTATAAAAAAAAAAATATATATTGACTCTAAGAAAATACAGGCTTCCCAGGCAGGTCAGTGGTAAAGAATCTGCCTGCCAATGCAGGAGACTCGGGTTTGATCCCTGGGTCAGGAAGATCCCCTGGAGAAGGAAATGGCAACCCACTCCAGTATTCTTGCCTGGGAAACCCCATGGGCAGAGGAACCTGGTGGGCTACAGTCCATGGGGTCACAAAGAGTAGGACATAACTGAGCACATAATAAAATCCAGGAAGACCATCCCAAACACATCAAAATATCTTTGATAATTTAAAAAGTATTGCAGAATCCTGTGTCTCTCGATCATCATACACATATCTATTTTCAGAGGCTTTATATATGGCAGCATGGTCATTACAGAGAGCTCTGGTGGATGAAAAACTAAGCATTTTAAAAATATCACCATGCCCATTATATTTTTCCTCAGGCTCTATTCTGGGGCCTGAACATGGAAGTTCAGTTCCCTCTGTGAGTTATAAGCAAGGAAAAAGCAGAGACAGTTATTAGGTCTTTGAACTATACATACAGGAAAATCGCAGGCTGGAAAAAGACCAGGACATACAGCACGGCTGCTGCTCAGCCCAAGAAATCCTCATTCACGTTGCCATCTCCATCTCAAACTGCCCTACTCATTTATAGTGAGAATTTTATGAAAAGGTAGCTGAAGGTACCAGGACTCTACCATGTATGCTCACCACTGTCAACTTAGCCTAGAACTCAAAAAGAGTGCCGGTGCAAGCAATAACCCCAATTTCTGATTCCCTGTCACACACACACACACACACACATTCTCCCTCAAAGACAAATTCTGTGTTCCCAATTAAAATCCTGAGAAGGGACTTTGCCCTGGACTCACCATCCTTCCAGCCACCTTTGATCCAGAAATGCCCAGCAGAGACTGACAAGGTGGAAGTTCAGCAAGGAGGTGGTTTGATGCCCCACAGGCTCCTAAATCCTTAGGGAAAGAGATCATAGAACTCGGAGTCAGAGATCTGGATTTATATCCTGCCTTTGCCTCTACTGGACACACGACATGGAGCAGGTTGTTTAACTTCTCTGCATCCCATTTTCTCATCTATAAATCTGGAAAAATAATAATTGTCGAACATGCTTATGAGATGATTAATATTAAACAACATTTATTGAATGCTTACTGTGCGCAGGGATTGTTCTAAGCACTTTGTATGTGTAGCTGGTTTGAGCCTTTTAGTATTTCTCTGATGTAGGTACAACTGCCATCCCCATCTTCAGATGGGGAAACTGAGGCACAGAGAGGCTAAGTTGCCCAAGGCCATTCAACTAGTGTAGGTGAAGGCAGTTTTAGTCCCTATACTGCCTTACTGCTAGAATCAAATGAGACGATGTACAAGTTGCAGGTGGATACCCTCTTCAGGATTGTTTCAAGAGTCTTCCTTAAATAGAGTGCTCAGCCTGGGCCTGATGATGCCAGCCATATCAGCAGGGTTGAGAAGCACAGAGTCCCAGAGCAGGCACTGCTCACACAAATCCCCAAACCCTGGAGGAGGCTGGGCTGCTTCCATGAGCCTTGGGGAGGGAAGGGGGGCCTTTGCTGAGATACCAGTCAGGTGCAGGCCGTTCCTCAGAATCCAGGACAAGACTGGTTCCAGGAATCCCAGGAATGGTAAGAGAGGGTGGGTGTGAACCTCTAAATTTTCTTCCTGGTCAAAAAAGTCCACTTTTGTCTTCTTAATTCCCTGGACTCTAAACAAACACTAAGGAAAATATCCCGCCAGTTCCAGGGCTGTGTATGTGCAAAATAGGAGGGGAGGAGGCAGTTTCCAGGGTGTATCCACAAGGCAGTGAAATCTCAGCCCCGGGGCAGACAGCACAGGAAGGGTGGGGTTCCTTTCTTCCGAACAATTTATGAAGGTGGTTTCCCATGCTTTCTAACATAGCTCACTGTGACTTGGTGTGTACAGAACATACATACATAAATGAAACAACAGTTTCACAAGACAACGCATTATTATTTGGGGAGCAGTTGGATCAAAAATTCTTTTGTCTTCTTTCTTATTCTTCTTCTCTATACTTCTGTTGTATTTCATTTAAAAAACATATTGATCTCAATCTATTAAATTGATCTCCCTCTCCAATGATTTTGCCACCCCCAAGTTGATAAACCTGGAGAATTTCTAAAGGTTAGAAGGGGAGAAATTAGAAGTTCATAACTCATTGCATAACGGCCATCCCTGACCTAAATGGGTAAAACATCCAAAAAAGAGGGGATATATATAAACATATAGCTCGTTCTGGAGAAGGAAATGGCAACCCACTCCAGTATTTTTGCCTAGAGAATTCCGTGGACAGAGGAACCTGGTGGGCTGCTGTCCATAAGGTCGCACAGAGTCGGACACGACTGAAGCATGCATGCATTGGAGAAGGAAATGGCAACCCTGGAGAATTCTCTTGCCTGGAGAATCCCAGGGATGGCGGAGCCTGGTGGGCTGCCGTCTATGGGGTCGCACAGAGTTGGACACGACTGAAGTGACTTAGCAGCAGCAGCAGCAGCAGCATAGCTGATTCACTTTGCTCTACGGAAGAAACTAACACAACACTGTAAAGCAACTATTCTTGTTGCTGTTGTTGTTACGTCGCTAAGTCAGGGTCTGACCCTTTTGTGACCCCATGAACTGTAGCCCGCCAGGCTCCTCTGTTCAACTATACTCTAATAAAAATTAATTTTAGAAAAGGGCCATCCATTCTGATAAAAACCCAAAGATAACATGGTCAGTGTTTGGTCTGTTCGTTTAAGGACTGACATTGAAATACCTAGAAATAGCCCCATCCACAGGGTGAGGAGGTCACTGCCTGACTCGGGGCCTCAAAATGCCCATCAATTAGTCTTACATCTGCCACTTACTTTAGGTTGGGCCTGTGGGTGCACGCTGTGGATACAGGAAACATGAAACACTCAGGCGGCTCACAGCCTAATGTGGAAATTACAAAGAAATACCTATGAAAAGCCACAGTGCAAGGGAGTCACTATAATAGTAGGGCAACATAAGCTCCTCTGGGAGTGCAGAGGAAAGAGGAAATGCCCTGCTCTCTGGGAGACATGTGGAAGGCATGACAAAGAAGAATTGGTTTGTGAAAATAAATAGAATTGACTAGGCAAAAAAGCAAGGCTGGGGAAGGGAAATCCAGGAGCTAAGATTCTGACAGCCCTGAAATCTTTTCCAACTTGATACCTTTTCCCTAAAATTTGGCCACAAGGGCCTCATTCCTTTAGGTAAAATTTTTATCCCTATTTAGTCAAGCCCTTCTGCAAGAGATACCCTTTTAAGATATTGCCATTCACTTACACCTCCCTCTGACCAAGGTTAAGTTCTATGTGAAAGCAGAGTTTGATAAGAGGAAGAGAAGAAAGGGAAGAATATGAGGCCATTAAAAGCTTAGGGAGAGGGATGTCCCTGGTGGTCTAGTGGCTAAGACTCTACACTCCCAATACAGGTGGCCCAATTTCGATCCCTGGTCGGGGGAACTATATCCTACATGTCTCACCTGAGAGTTTGCATACTGCAACCAAGATCCATCACAGCCAAATTTAAAAAATAATGAATTTTTTAAAAAGCTTAGTCATAAAAAGGGCAAGTAATATGGCACCGGGAGGCCACACTCAAACTCTGCTTTGCATTTGACTGGAATCTACCTCTGGAAGAACCCAGGGTTGGTACAGTGTACGTAGTTCTATATAGATGCTCTGTAAA